CCCTCTGCCTCGTCCCCCCCAGCCCCCCCCCCCCCCCTGCCCCACCCCCCCCACTGCCCCACACCCCCCACTGCCCCACACCCCCCACTGCCCCACACTCCACACCCAGTATTTTTGGTGTCCAGGTGCTAATGTCAAGGGAAACCCATGGATCCATGGTAGCTACTCTGGACTGACCTTACAGTGGTTTGCCTGTAAAGGTCAGGCCACTGTACTAATTGAGCCACATCCCTAGCCCTTGGCAAGCTACTTTCTGAGCTAAGAGAATAAGCCGAAGGGTGGGATTGGTTAAGCTCCAGGCCCCAGACTGAGACCAATGGAGCCTGATTGTGAAGACTTGACTGGGTGAGCCCACTCCCTCATCGTGGGCTAGTGTTGCCTCTTGAATGCAAGCCATGATGCCAAAGTCCAGAAGGGGAACCTTAGGGCCTCCAGCCCTGCCTGGTATTCTCTACCTGTCACCTGGTGAGGTAAAAACACTAGGTAGCTCTCTGGTTTCCCACTGTATGAGAAACAGTAATGGGTACTTCGTATTGTTATACTTAGGAGCCCATGTGAGCAGCAGTATTGTCCTCAGAACACAGAGAAGGACAGAGGCACAAAGGAGTCCCTCAAAAGATAAGCGCCTTTGAGGGTTTGTCAGGAAATGCCCTGAGAAGGTGGGACAGGGTGTGCAACATTACTGAAGCCGAGCCACCATTTGCACAGGCCACAGCTGGCACTGGGTTGGCCAGCTCGACTCCGGAATGTTCCCAGAGCGATCTGAGGTCAGCATGGTCTTGCCTTTTCTATGCCATGAACCCCCAACTTGCTCCAAATATGGATGCTTTAGTCATCTGGTGTTTTTGTTTGTGTATTTTTTGAGGCCATCGCCCTAAATTTAAGTCAAGAAACAGATCCACTCTGTCTCTATCCTGCTCATTGAATACTGATGCCTGTGTTTGCAAATGACATGTTGTAATTCCCAGTCTGTTTAATCTTCGTGAGAGCAAGTTGGGGAGCACTCTGGAAGTGGCTTCTCTTGGTTTTCCTTTATTCACTAGTCATGTGGGCCCACATGCAAAATCTCTGGGGAGAAAGGAAGTCTCCCAAGAGTCCCAAGCTCTCTGGGAAGGCCCACCTAGAACTGCATCTCCACCATACAGGACATGTCACCTGAGTCCAAGGGGGCAGCGCTGCAGGGCAAGTTCAGAGGGAAAATGCATCTCTGCATAGCAGTCTAAGGCCAGGCCACCAAGGCAGGCCCGAGCGAGAGTCAGGAGGCTCTCAGAGCCTGGCTCTGCAGCCACCCAGCTGGGCTTGGAGCCCTGGCTCTACCACTACAGAAATCGGGTCAAATAATATTGTCTTCCCAGCCTCAAGTCCTGCGTCTATAAAGTGAGGGCCTGTCTTCCCACACACGCACTTTCTAATTGTCTGTATATTAAGTGTTTCTTGGTTATAATGATCCATATGATCTCCATCCTTCAAGATTTGTTGAGATGTGATTGCTGGCCCACTTGAAGTCAACTCTGTAACTGTTCACTGAATGATTAAAAAGCCTATCCTGGTGTCACTGGCTGGCTTTTGTCTTTGGAATTTCTTTCCAGGAGAGCGCGCACATATTGGTCTCAAATGGGACTCAGCAGCCTCCCACATGGGGACCAGAGGCCCCCAGTACCCACAGGACTATGCCTAGGCCACCCTAAGAAGATGCCACCTTGGGGTCGCTTATGGGAGCCATAGCACGTGTGACTTCACTCATGTCTTTTACATAAGACCCAAAACTAATACAGGTTCAAAGCTGTGAAGGTAACCTAGGACCTCTCCTTTCAGCTCCTTCTGCCAGTGGTCCATTTATTCAGCTTGTTCTGCCAATGGTCCATGAATCTAGCAGTACTAGACCAGGGGAGTCCTCCCTATAGCAGAATTATCCAGTAAGTCACAGAAGCCATGGCGTCTTTGAAATGGCTGTCTGCATAGAAACCCACACACTTCTGGAGTGTGTGTGTGGGGGGGATGTGTGTGTGTGTGGTGTGTGTGTGTGTGTGTGTGGTGTGGTGTGTATGTGTGATCTGTGTGTGTGTGGTGTGGTGTGTATGTG